GTGGGCCGTTAGCCCTGCCCCGGCGGGGGCACGACCGTTGGTGGCCGGGGTCGGGCGGGTCAGGGACACGGCTTTCCTCTCTTCTCTCTACGCTTTGCAGCAAAAAGTAACTCGCTTCAAGACCTAGTCGAATCTTTTAACAAGTTTGGGGAAAATCTGCTAGTTCGGTCACATTTTTCTGCAGTGATAATGGGGAACTCGGTACAATGCACTTAAACACAACTACTTGTCACCCTACAGTAACAATTCCTGCAGAGTTTTATTGTTTTTCATACTTGTTTTTTAATATATTTTACAATGAAAGATTTTATACACATCTCTTCCAGTTCAAAAACACAGGTCTCACTACTGGACATGCTTTCTTCAGGATTTCATTCTTAGTTAAACAGTGTACTCACAACTGAAAACAGCGTCTTCACAACTGCTATACAGGGTGGAATAATATACTCCGTATTTTTGGTTCAGTTGATGCTTTGAAACACATCTCTGGGTAACATGAGGATTGTCTCATATAGCCACACTATGTTTGCGAATCAAGAAGGCACCTACAAGCTTTTGAAACGCATGACGTCATCTTGTCTGATACTCTTCTCTCGTTCACGTTGCAAAAACTGGAACGACATGGTGATGGGTTATTTAATATTTGAAAGCGTTCTACTTAGATTTCTAAAGTGCAGTATGGAGACGTGTTTTACAACACCAGTCTTGTACATCAGCGCTCTGTAGCCCTCTCTTTCTTCTGTTTATAACAACTGTTCCCTTGGCAGCATTTCCTTCAGCCAACAGTGATGTTTTATCTGTTGTTTTCCCCATGTATTTACCAGCAGCTGTTGTTCATAAAATAGCCATCTTCCACCTATGAAAGTGAAGGTTATTCTTTCTGGTGTGAAGAACTAAATCTAGAAGTCATTCTGTAGTTTACAGCATATTACAGAGTAATACTAGTAGAAATTAACGTTTGTCATTTACATTTCCAGTGAATCAAAGGCACTTGGTATTTTACATTTTACGGATACTTCTTACCATCTATGGGTAACAAGCTTTTGTATATACAAGGGTGTGAGGGAAGAAAAAGAAAAAGGAAACGACTTCACCTTTTTAGCAAATAAACCCTCGATATTGTTCTATGAGGCTGATAGCAAACCAGAACCACTGCCAGGTTAGGAATTGCGCACGCCTCAAAGCCAGTCCGATCAAGGAAAGAAACCATGCTGAAAATGGAAAAAAATCCAGTGTTCCCTTTTTTTTTTTTTAAGGGACAGAATTTTCATTACCTGTCAGACTCGCAAATATTTTCAAATATTTTATGTTCTTTACTTCAAACTAAGGAAAAGCTTATAGAATAAAAACAGCATGGCAGCAGAATCACAGTATGTTATGCTACCAGATTAAAGATAAATGTGGTACTTAGGTAATACTCACTGCCCTGCAGAATGAGCCGACTAACCCTTTCTGTCGTGCTGAATGGTCTTCACTGAGATGAAAGCAGCACCTAGACAGAAAGAAACTATCATAAAAGACAAGTCATCAGCTCATCAGAAAGTCAGGCAAAGGCTCTGCTACCAGCTCCCGTTGTTCTACTCAAATCATTTAAACAAGATAGCTCAAAATCAACCTGAAAATATCACTGTTCAGGAATAGTGTCTATGATATTAACAATGACACAAATAATTCTCTGCTGTTCTATGTAAAGAAAAAAGTCTATAAAAAAGATGATTTTGTTAGCTTTAAATTAAAAGAGCAGTGTTATAAAATGTCATCTCAGCCCCAGTGAATAACATTAAGTAGGAACCCCCCACACATGGTGTGAAACAGCAAACCTACTAAAAGACAGGTTCATAACCGTTTTGCATTTTAATTACAAAATCATTAAAATAACAGAAAATTTACTCTGACTTTGTACCTACTCAACAGCAGAAATCTGCAAAGGTTTCTAATGAATATAAACAAACAGATATATTTACACAGTTTATTAGAAACCATACATACATACATACGGAAAGGATGTACTGTACCTAGTCATTGCAGCTTGCATGTCAAAGAACTGAGATTTCCTCATGTTTAGCAGTCCTAACGCAGAATGTGTTATAAGTAGTTTACTGACCATAGTTCAAACCAAGTGGAAGTTTTGTATAGTGAACCAAGTACCTTATTATAAAGTTACTTTGTTATTTCTTTCTTTTAAAATGAATTAGAAGGAAATTAGGAAAAAAAAACCCCAACTCTGCAACATGAAACCAGCCCCCCCGCACACAACCTCTCCCATGTACCCCAGAGTTCATTCATTACGGCAGTATTCAGGCATCAGTGTAGTTCTCACAAACATCCCTTGAAGTCAGTGGTTCTGCTGAGACAGTCAGCTGCACAAAATCAGCTATTCAATTTTGCACCAAGCATAATTCATACTAAAGAAAAAAGCACCTGTTATTCTCAGGAATATACAAATATTTACCACAGTTTTCCTTGCTCATTACAAAATCAGTTACAAAAGCTTACAGCACATTATTTACAAATTCTATCCAAATACATAAAAGAGCCATCATCTGGCACACTGTCTAACAGCATCTGTAGTCACTTAAAGCTGTGGTCAGCTTATTTCATTCACCTCCCACACCAAAATCTGAAAAGTTGCAGGTGTGTCATGCACAGTGTCATGCACAGTGTCATAAATAGTCTTTGGGTTGGCATTTCAGCAGAAAGGAGTTAATTCTTCTTGTGAAGGAACTTCATTTTGTTTCCTAAAAAAAACAGCAAGAGTCACTAACATAGAGTGAAAAGCCACACGCAGTCAGAACTTACTTAGCAAATATGTCTCGTTTGTAATGTAGTTGTTACAGAGTTAATCTTCTATTTAATACAAGTAGAGATACCCAATTCACAGAATCTCGAATGGCCAAGGGTTTCACGTTTTTTTTAACTAGATTGTGTTTTGAGAGATTTTTTTTTTCCAAATGGAGATGAAAGCATTAAGAAGGGTCATAATTAAACGCACTTTTGTCAGCTTTAAGTACATTTTCGTTGTTTTACTCTTGATATTTCTTATCACATATTGAAACCACTGGTTGATATATTTGACTTCATCTCAGGCAAGGCTTTTTTAAATTAGAAAAATAAATGCATTTCAGAGATACTTGCAAAGATTTTCCTCACCAAGACCTCGCAGAAACTTGTTTACTCCACTTTGTTCAGTGTCCGGAAGTTCTTCCAAATACTGTTCAACCCTCTGTTCAAAGAGACCTGTGGAAGAGGGTGAAAAAATTGAGCTGAAAAAGGTTTTGTCAAGCTGAATCAATTTCCCCTTTTCCTTTACGCATTCCCAACTTTTTACTTTTACAATCGCTTGTCGTTGCCTCTAGTACTCAAAAATTTCACTGCACGGTCACTGCCCATTAGTTTAACAGGGCATTGAGGCTGGCACCAGGAACTGCAGATGTCACGCCAAGGATAAAGGATTTCTGTTTGCTCACCGTGGGCCAGGCAGCAGCCGGGGCCAGGCTGGGCCGGGCCGGGCAGGTGCTGCGGCTCGCCGCTTCCCGCAGCCCTGGGGC